TTCCCTACAAGGTTGCCCGAACTCGGGCTTCTAAAAATACAGCCCCCTGTCTGGGGCTCTCTGCGCCCACTCTGGGGACTTCTCGGTGACACCCCCCCCGACTCTCGGGTCCACCGCACTGCTGCCCCCATTCTCCTAGGGCTCGCCGTGCCACTACCCCCTCTCGCCGGGGGCAACTGCAGCACTCTACCCTGCTCCGGGGTTTATCGCAGCACTAGCCCTTCTTCAGAGGCTCACCGTGCCTGCACTGGGCTTCCTAATAATATCGCCCCCTCTCTGGGGCTCGCTGTGCCCCTACTGGGCTTCCTAATAACACTGCCCCCCCTCTGGGGCTCGTCGTGCCCATGCTGGGGCTTCTCAAAGCTGCCCCTCTCTGGGGCTGGGGTCCATGTACCCTGCAAGTTGCGCCTTCACTGGCGCTGGGGTTCCCATACCATTGGGGTTCCCCCTGCGAATGCTGCGCCGTCTCTGGCGCTAGGGTCCCACCCTCTGTGGGTCCCTATGCATACACTGCACCCTCCTCAGGCACTGGGCTTCCTAATAACACTGCCCCCTCTCTGGGGCTCGTCATGCCCGTGCTGGGGCTTCTCAAAGCCGCCCCTCTCCGGGGCTGGGGTCTATGCCCCGCAAGCTGCGCCCTCACTGGTGCTACGCCTTCACTGGCGCCGGGGTTTCCATACCATTGGGGTTCCCCCCTGAGAATACTGCGCCCTCACTGGCACTAGGGCCCCACCCCCTGTGGGTCCCTATGAGGATAATGCGCCCTCACTGGCGCCGGGGTCCTCACACTCCGTGAGCCCCCTACGAGGCCTCCTCCAACCCCTATAACCTCACCCAAACCACCGGTGTAATATCAAAGCGGAACATAAACTCGAGCCTCCTGGCTATAACTCAAACGTAAGGCACTGGGCCATAACAACATAAGCCTCCTGTCTGTAATTCAATATCATTGCTCCAGCCTCTGGAGCTCTCACGAGCTATACTTGCTGTTAGGCTTTTCCTCCTATCCTAACTGCAGGAGCTCCTGCCCTTCTGGCTGCTGGCAGGGAACTGCCAGCCTGGCCTCAGCCCTGGGCTTTATAAGGGCCAGGCCCTGCCCCCTCCAGGCAGCTGGCTCTCCTTAGTTGCCCCGGCAACCCGCAGCTGTGCTCATTAGTGTCCTGCCAGGGTTCTCTCCCTGGCAGTTTCTCCTCTCTAGGAGCAGGAGCACCGAGGTGCCCTGCAAAACTATTCAATATGGATTGGAAGCACGAGTGCCTTGAATTTCAGGGACCTACTTTGAAATGCCTTAAAGAAGCCAGATTTTCAGAGGGGAAGTGCTCAGCACCTGCTAAAAATCAGCTCCCTTTCAGATGTCTGAATTCAGGCTCCCCAAAGGGAGTTGCGCAGAGTTGCTCGTCCCCTTTAAAAATCTCAGCTCATAGGTACAGAGGGAGCGCTTGCCCTCTGCTGAAATGCAGCCATTCTGGGGTGGAAGAAAAGTGTATTTCTCTGTCACTCTGGGACCACGATTCCTGACATTAGAGAATACGTAAAAAAAAGAGAAAATGATATCTTCCAACTGATCACCTGCCTTTTTCCTAAACCTCCTGATATGTCAACTAGCTTTGGTTTAAAGCCCAAAGATACCTGATTCTCATTCAGAAGTCACACCTTTTCACTCTTAAAAATTAGCCCAAGCTACAAAATCCTGATCCACCTATGAAATCTCCTCCATTTCTGGACGGTTCATACCCAGACTTCTCATTTGCAGACCTTTTTTTTTTAAAAAAAAAAAAGCATGTTATTTCCAAGAGATGATTTGATTGCTGAAACCATGGCAACAGAAAGCATTGTTTCTAATTAACACCGAACACATTCCTGCACAGTATATTTCCTTCAAAGATTGCCAAAACATTCAGCAAGTTTTATATACCATTTGCAACATTGGATTATATTCCCCACTCTAAAGACAGCTGCCCCTTGGGTGGAGGGTGTGGTTCACTGTGCACAGCAAGGGGGCACAGAGAGGAGTGCAGTCCTGTAGACCAGCGGTGGCCAACGGTTTTGGCTGGCGTGCTACAAGTCGAGCCCCATCCGTTCCCCAAGGGCTGTGCTGATCCCCACCGCCCACTAGGCATATCTGATCATTTTTGGCCTGGGGCATTAGAAAAGAGAGAGGAGGGCTCAAGCCTCTGGCTACAGGACCTGGAAAAGGGCAAGGCACTGCTGGAACAGAGGTGTCAGCGCCAAAAGCCAAGCTAACCCTTCCCTAGCCGCACAACCACTACCGTTTTATATGGAGAGCATGGATACAAAGCCCTGAATTGGATGGTGGCCGTAGGGCCAGCGAATGGTTATCCTGGTTCTTGATGCTAATACCTGATAACTCCCTTGCAAGTGCAGCTTGTATGTCCTGCCCCCACTCTGCTTTGCCTGAGCACCCCTGCCTCCAGTTCGGTGCCCTCTGTTAGTGAGCATCTGGGGTCCATGTACCACATATGGCAGCTGCCCATACCACAGGTTGGCCAACCGTGTTGTAGCATTCAAAACTGCAGGGGGGGGATTTAGGTGGAACATATACCTCCTCTCTTCATGGTGGAGTTAGGGTGAGATTGTCAAGTACAGTATAAGGAGTTAGGAGAATGAGTCCCATTTGGAGCCCCCCCCCCCACTTAATATCCACAAGCAAACAGGAAGAACATGCCATCTACAATTGCTAACTGGCTTGGCAAAAAAAGAGAGAGGTTCCCTCTCTTGTGGGAGCCACCAAGTTATTCCCTGAAGTGGTGAAGCCTCAGTGTCCACATGTCCACTTTTTCACACCCCCGCACCCTGCACTTTTCCTGCAGCGGTGAGAGCACAGCCCCATGGTATGGGTGCAGGGGGTAGGGGGGATGTCACCTCCATTTTGTGTTGCTGAAAAATCGGTGTGGTTTTAGCCACTTGCCAGTGACCAAAAAAAGGGGGTGATGTCTGCCTATAGCAGCAAACCTCCATGTGCTGCCACCATGCAGGGCACAGCACCAGCCAGTTGTGCCTTTGAGGATGGGCATGGTGCTACGCAGCTTCTTCAGTGGCTGAACAAGTGAAGCTTGCCCTTCAGGTCACGGGGCCAGGCTGTGACTGCAAAGGCAGGCTGCAGGTCCTGCGTTCGAGTTCTCCTTACAGCACTACGTGTTGCATAGCACTACGACGCATCGCCCAATTGCAGACAGAGAGCTTTATCTGGTTTGCTGAGGGCAAGCCCAGTTCCTTGCTTATTCTGAGCCTCCTGTCCACGCTGCTGGATATAGAAAGGGCAGCTGAACTGGAGCCAGGGACACTTCATCAGTCTTTGTAAAGGTCACTGGAAACAAATGGAGAACTGTTTTGGTCGTAATGTTTCAGGGGACCTTCTGACAGCCGTGTGCAAGCAGGTTTTGTAATCAGCTGCCGTACGACAAGAGGGAAAGTCCATAGGGACAGTTGTCAGTGTGATGTGTTTGTTTGCAAACTAACGAGGCCACGTGATGCAACGATGGCTGATTTCTTATGCGACCCACACATGGAAGGGACAATGCATTTGTTTTGCTCAGCCCTTTGTGCTTAATAGCTCGGTGGCCAGCAAACTCGGATCAGATTTCCTTAGTTACTGGAGCTTAGGAAGCATTACCAAAATATAGCCACTGTAGCATTATTTTGTTAAGGATATAAAGTCAAATTTTGTCTAAGTGTCCTAGGCTCCTAAGTCACTGTGGGCTACATCCACAAGGGGACATAGGGATTGTGATGTTGACCTTCATAGGAGATGTATGACCCCACTATTCATAGGCCTGAATTATGATACCTGGGCTCTGTGTACCTGGCCTGGGGAAAGATTGACCCATTGCAATGGGATCTGAAGCAGCCATGCTGAGAGTGCGGCCAGTAAGAAATGCTGAGGACACCAGTATGTCTGAAATCCCACCCCCTCTCCTGACCTGAAGTCTGTCAGCATGATGCTTTAGGAGCCAAAAAGCATGGGTACAAACAAGGGACAGCAGAGTTAGCAAGCATCTGGATGTACAGTCCAGCAGGTTTTCCAGAGCAACAGTCCACGTGCATGCTTTTACTCCAGTACAGCGGAAAGGGTAAGCTGCTCCACGTTGACCTCAGGGTAAGAGCTTGTCCATGGGCAGACACCATATATGGGCACCTATACACATGGTCTGGAGTGGGTTTAGCAGGGCAGGCATTTTAATTGGAGCTGCTCTAATTAAAACGCCCGCAGTGTCTCATGTATTCAGCATCCCACCTTTCAAAATGGCAGGGGCGCTTTAACTACAGAACATGTCAGAGCATGTGTAAAAGGGCCGATATCTCCTTCCTGACCTCGGGTCATGTGTTCCTGTACCTATGATTTATGTCTTTTTGTTGATATGGCCCTTCAATTCGATGCTTTTTTGTAAGAGGAACTAGAAATAAGCCCGGTACTCCTATAGATCATGTAGATGACCTGAAATGCCATTTAATGACAGCATCAGTGCAATGAGCTTTTTCTGATGGGTGGGTAATTGTGTAGTGTCCCACGTCAGATGACATTCCCATGTGATACGTGATGCATTTTGCCCACCACCTAGCTACTAACCACGGCTCCCGGCATCCGCTACAGCGAACATCCAATCAGCCAAATGTGTGTGCATGTGGGCACACAGAGATAAAGTAAAGCTTTCTCCTTGCATGCTGTATGCAAAGGTGATTGCTTTGGGCCAGGGTAGAATAGCATGACATCGGTTCAAATTATGCCAGCTCCTAACAGGGCCCCGAAACAAAGAGGATTGCCAGGCAGGGCTATTTTAGCCATGCCCTTTCCTGGAGGCCATGCCCATCTCCCTCTGCCAGGCAGAGAAAGCATAGTGTAAGACTGTTTGCACCACTTAATAAGCCCAAACTGGACCAGAGAGGAGGAATGAAGGATCAAGAGGGTACGATGATAAGATTTAAACCACTTAGAGACATTCATGTACAATGGGCTCTGAGGGAGAGCCTCTTCTCCAGCTCTCACCAGCTAAGAGTTATCACAGTAGGTTGGTTTAAATTGTTTAGGCTCCTAAACTATCGCTCTAATTCTTTAAAATAATGTAGTCCTGCTACAGCTTTTAGGTTAAGGTTCTCTGCATAGATTATGTTCTTCATAATAATCCCATGCATACGAAGGTTATCGCAGAGCAAAGACCATTTCTGCGGGCCAGATGAAGAGCTGTCGTAAAGAAATGGCTCTTCCAAAGTTTCAAAGGAAAAATCTGTTATAAGCATTTTCCTCCCGTTTCGGTCGCCAATACGGAGTATTACAGCACCACCTACTGGGCAAGGCACGCACTTCAAACCCCACGTGCTTTTTGTTCGGTTGTATTTAGGAATGCAGATGTTGAATTGAATAAGAGTGAGTCTTCCTTGTCCTGTCCTATCAGTGACCAGCAGCAGTCAGAAAAGACATTACCTATTCTGTGCGGTGCGGTTTTGTGATAGTCCTCATTGCTGCTAGCTTATCTTGCACATGGTTGTAAGTGTCAGGGCTTACATAGCGTGCAGTCCTATCCAACTTTTCTGATAGCTTTGAGTTGCAAGTCAGCCTCCTTTGTGGTCTCTGCTGCCATTGGATGCCTGGAGAATATGGGAGAAGGGCACTTACAATATACACAGGCCAGAGGGATGATTATTTTGAGGTGTCTAACCCTAACTGAGGGCATTGGCAAGGGGGTTATTCCCATACAGCTGGGGGGACATAGGAATCCTATTAAAAATAAAGAGAGATGCAGGGCAAAATCCCGAATTGCTTCCAAACTGCAAGAAATGCAGGGAAACCCAAAGTTTCAAAGTAAAATTCTCCTAAAAAGGAGCATTCACTGACACACAAGAACAGGGATGGTGGTGTTCACTGTGAACCTAGCCTGCAACCAACCTCATCTTGTCCAGTAAGACGGAGCATCATTGTGGGGTGGTAAAGAAGTGCCATGTTTCCAAGCAGAGGTGGCTGCATTTAAAGCAGAGATGTGCGGAGGGCAGGGACCTTTATTCTGTACACCTAACAGGGGTCACCTCTGAATTGGCAGACCTTCTCTGTGCACATGTAAAGGACCGAGCATGGTACCAGGCCTTTCTGTAACGTGGTTTGAGATCCTGTTGGTTCAAAAACCAGTAGTGTAACTAGGACGGGGCAACCAAGATGTGTTACGTCTCTTAGACATAATGCCATTCATGGAGTGTTTTTTCAATGTGAAGTCACCCAGGGAGGATAAGGCTCAGATATGGGCTCCCCTGACGAAACGCCCAGATCACACTGGACACAGTTAGCAATGTTAGTCTATAAGGTACAGGTCTACCCTGCCTTCTACTTGACTTTAGACTAAGTAGAATAGATTTTTATATATCACACGGTTTTGTGACTTGAAGCTCTCTTCATCGATGAAATGAAATCAGTGCAGTTGGACCCAAGTGTCCATGTACGGTGCTGGGAGCCTCCACCTACAGAATGGGGACAGAGTTGGTTTTAGAAGACAGAGTCCCCAGAGCACCATATATTTCTCATTTTCTCTCTGTCTCTTGATCTCACCATCTCATCCACTCAAGAGGGGGAGAATGACTTGGCCAACCTGCAGGTCCTAGAAAACTAGAAGGTCTCCTTATGTGGGCACTGCCTTGGGCTGCTGCCATTTTGGCATTGCCCTTTGGTGGTAACAGGGGCAAGGATAAGGACATTGCTTTTTTTTGCTATTGGTAGGGTTCTTGGTTGTTGTGTTGGTTGGGAGGAAGGAGAGGCATTAGCTGTGCAGGAGCAGGTGTGATACAGCCACAAACCCTCTGTAGGAGAGGAGGTGAAGGCTTGGAGCAATCAGTGTAGCCCAGGTGAAGTTCTTGAATATAGTGATTTGCCCTGCATAATGGTTTGGTCATAGAATCATAGAAAATTAAGGTTGAAATGACCTCAAGGGGTCATCTAGTTTAACCCCTTCATCTTGTTTAACCCCCAACCAAACCCGACCCTAGGGGGGTGCAAGGCCTGGGACAAATCAGTCTGTGCAGGGCCCCCTTAACACTGCACGGGGCTGTGATACCCCTGCCCGGGGGTGGGGTGGGGGGTCTCCATGCTTCTTCTGCAGTGAAGGGCTGAGCCGCCAGCTCCAGGCAGGCCCTGAGGGAGGCCACTCCACCTGGCTCCCTGAGGCCCCCAAAGCGCAGGGCCCCGGGGCGGTCACCCCAGTTTCCCACACCCTAGGGACAGCCCTGCCCCCAACTAACTGCTCTAACTGTAGTAGGAAAGGATCCTACGGGTATGCAATATTATATTTCCATGACAGCGCCCTATGCATCCTGCAAATTGTCATGTCTTCAGGCATCACCCACTGAAGATGACTCTGTCCCCTTCGGTGGCTAGTTCACATGTATTGAAGTTTATGAATATGCTACTGGTTTTGGATAAGGAGCTTGAGTTTTTCAGTTGCTCAGGCAGGAGCAGCTCCTGTTGTCAGATGCCCAGGATCCAAATTTCCCTCCTTTGCAAACTGTGCTTGCATCACACTGTTACTTTGTCGGGTGCCACATAACGTTGATCTGGAGCGTCCCATCCAAAAAGCTGAAGGGTTCAATAGTAGGCTGGCTTGTTGATGCCTGAAAGCAGGTACTCACCTCCCGCGCCGCTGTTTCTATCTCGGCAGGCCCCCTGGAGCACGTCCATTTGTCTCTCCCGTTCGTTACAACGAAGAACAAAGAAGTCAATGCCACAGCGGTGCTGTGGCCCAGCCAGGTTGGCACGCTCACTTACGTCTGGTGGTTCGGGAACAACACTGAGGTTGGTATTCCCTTGTGCAGCTAGAGCAAAGCATCTTTGGAGATATGCCATACCGATGGGGTTCGGGAATATTTCTGAATATCAAACTGATCAGCTAACAGAGGGACCAGTCCTTGGCACTTTGAGCAATTCCTACATCCCAATACGGGTAGATCAATGGGATCATTCCCTATAGTCCATCTGGGCCTGTGCCCAGCCTCGGAGATTGGGTAAAGCTTAATGGTTCAGAAGCTATTGTAAGAAATGATGTGTTAGGAAGATGTGTGATAAGTCCACTCTCCTCCCCTCCTCCCCCAGGTTATGCAAACCAATTTGGTGGTGTTGATAGCCCCAAGTAGGTATGCTTAAATAAGCTATTTGCATTTTATGCAAGTCACCAACACCCCATTTGACAGCATGGAGAAGATCTAACCCTAAAGCAGACTGAAAGCATTTCTAAAATATTTTTTCCCCCCTTTCAAATCTAAAATACAACCTTGTCCGGTTTTTACCAACCCTGCCATCTGAACTGAAGCTTGCTCATCTCAAGCTTTGTGCGTGTAGCCCTAGGGCATAAACCTTGTTCCTCAGTCTGTACCTACTGCATGATTAACAACAGGGGAAACATTATCACTCACTCCAACACCTACCCTTAAATATGCTTAAATTATGCCAAGTTCTCGTTTTCTCTGTTAAACTGTGTGTGCAAGAATGCCTCATTACCATACACTGCAGGATGTGAAATGATACCTGGTACAATCTAGGTATATCATTTCACATCCTGCAGTGTTCCTACATATCCTGCCTATGTTTCCTATGTAGCATAAAAGAGTACACACAACTTTCTGCGATCTCTTGCACATCTTTATAGGCACCATGTAATTGTGATTTTATTTATCGGTCTTGCAGAAGCACCCAAAAGCCCCAATTAGACTCAGAGGGGGAGATTGTCATACATTTGAATGGCAGAAAGGATGATGCTGATAATCTCATTTGATCTCCTGTGTAACCAGGCCAGAGCCAGCCAGCAAGCTCCTTCATGACACTGTGGCCGTGTGTACACATCGCCCTATGGTGATGTAGCGATGTGCACATCACTGTATGACACACTACGGCAACGTAGCGATCACATGGGTCTACACATGCTCACCGGCTACATCACTGTAGTGCATGCTTCCTGCTTATAGCGCACCGTTACAACAATGTAGCAGGGAAAATCTTCCCGTGCACCACCCATACGGTGCAGTACGGGCGGTTACAGTGCCGTGTTTTAGTACTTCCAAAAGAAAGTACTAAAACACGGTGCAATAACAACGTTGCCACACGGCAATGTGTAGACACACGCTGTGGTTTGCAGTTAACCTAGTGCATGGTTTTCGATAGACCTCCAGTCTTGATGCAGTGACTTTAAGTGATGGAGCATCCACTACACTCCCAAGGAAGGTTTATCAGTAGTTAATCAACCTTACCCTTAAAATCTTTGCCATTTATTTGCACCAGAATACAGCTGACTTCATTTCTAGCCCCCTAGGTTTGATGTCTTTCCTTGTCGAATTAGCATGCTGTAGTATTAGGAACCTTCCACCCATGGAGGCACTTACAGGTGATGATTGTCACCTTGCAGACTTGGCTAAGTTCATGAAGGGACAGGGTTAGCCTCACTCTGTTACTCCAAACAGGAGGGAGATGAGACATTTTGTGGTCATTTTGGGTAGCCCATCTTCAGTCTACCTCTGTCCCCTCCACTGTCTGTAGCAAAACTCCCACTGGGATCAAGGGGAGCAAAGACAAGACTTTACGGCCTTGTTCTGTGCCTAGTCTGGGCCTGGCAGACGGGAGCCTGATGCCCTCTCTCCCCATGTGTTTATAGCCGCTGATCACCCTGGAGGGAAGCATCACGTTTGCATTCTCCGTGGAAGGGATGAACACCATCACGGTGCAGGTCTCGGCGGGGAGCACGATTCTGCAGGATACAAAGACTATTGCAGTGTATGGTGAGCCCTTACCCCTTTATTCCTACTGCAGAGCCCGCTCAGCAAATCAGCGGTGGCTTCTCTCGGCACAGGAAAAGGAATAGAGCAGCGTATGTGTATCCATAACAACAGCGTGCTGGGTTTGCAGTGCATCATCATCAACCACCTAAGGCTCATTAAAAGCAGAAGCTAAAGGGGAACATGCAACAGTATTGCCTGAAAATGTTTCAGGCTGGATTCTGATCTCCATTTCAGCAGCACAAATTCAGATTAACTCTCGTGAGGGCTCTTGGGGTTACTCTGGATTTACCCTAATAAGATTAGGCTTTTGCTTTACATTTCAGAGTAATGCTACTTCTGGGTGATTGATTCAGCTTTTCAAAGCCCAGGCTCGAACCTGCTAAAGGAGACTGTTAGTTGGCTTAACTCTTCTTGCCAGTCGAGGACTTGGTTCCAGTTTCTGCAAGCCAGCCTGGAGTTCAGGGCAGCATAGAGATACCTAGCCTACTTCTGAAGGAGCTAGCTTAGTTGCCAGAAGCAGCAGAGTTGTGTTAGGATGGTGCAGTGCAGATCTAGGTGTCAGCTGTGGGCTGTGATTGAAAAGTGATCACAGGGGTGGGGCCCCCGGGACAGGGCAGTTTGCCTTGAGTCTGATGGAAAGAGTCCCCTTCTATATCCTGCT